CAATCGTCGTGGGATGGTCATGGGTGGATAGGGTTTGCAGAATTTTTTCTTAAAAATTAGATGAAGACGAAGGCAGGTCGGTGGTGGAGTACATGCCCGACGGTGGTGAACGAGTCATCGCCGGAGAAATTGAAGGCGGAGTCGGATGGGTGGTAGCCTCCGCCATGCTTGGATCGGGCCTGGAGTTGCTGCTCCCGCACGACGATCTTCTTAGGCCAGTGAAGGCTGACGAGGAAGGAAATTTAAAAAGAAAAAATCATGCACAAGGATTGGAGGGCTGTCAGGAAAGAAGAAGAAGAAGAAGAAGAAGAAGAAGAAGAAGAAAAAAGATGGAAAGATTAGAAGAAGAATAATTATTAAGAAATAAATTTTGTTTAATTTACAATAAAGATTGTGATCAGTTATGGAAAATGGTTGGATAATTTCCCATGATATCCGCCCTTACCTAACAACCCAAATTTAAGATTCTAGCATATTTGAAAATAAAAATAACACTTTCAGCAATTTTACTAATATTTATATGTTAGATACATTATTGCAAATAAAAGTAAATAATAAAGTGGAGGACATAATTTTCTCAAATATAAAAGTAGGTTGGGCTCATTGGGCCTCCACTTATCTGAAAAGTGCAACCCATGTGCGAGGATCCAAATACAATCCCAACCCTACACAATTCTTACATCTTCTTTTCCTCTCTCTTTTGCAGACACACGGAGGTATCAATCATGGGTTCACTCACACTCCATAATCCCTTCAGCCACCACTACTCTGACCATGGCCGTGGCCTATGCCACCGCCGCACTCGGCGGCCGGCCACCGTCTTCCTCCGCGCTCCTGAATTAGCTACATCCTCCCCACCCCTCACTTGCTGTTCCATCAATTCATTCCGCCACCAGCACCAAACCCTCGCCTCCGCCCCGCAGACTCCAGCCACCGCCATCCGGGGCGCGGAAACCGACGCAATTGGGCTTTTGCTCAAGGAGAGGATAGTTTACTTAGGGAGCGACATCGATGACGCTGCTGCTGATTCCATTATAAGCCAACTGCTTTTGTTGGATGCCCAGGATCCCACAAAGGATATTCGGCTGTTCATCAATTCCATAGGTGGCCCACTCAGGTTTGTTTTACTGCAGCTTCTTTTTAAGTGATTCTCTTATACTGTTATTTCTCTTTTTAACTTAGTCTGAAATGGAGTTGCTGTAGTTCTGCTTGACTTATGCGAATTTGTCGTTTGTTGTATATTGTACGTATCCCAGGGTACGCCGAGTTGAATCTACTGTCTTCCCATTGAACTCCTCTGTCGGTGTAAAATTGGTATAAATTATGATTTTATGTGTACGACGGAGTGCATTCTATTTGGACTAGGCAATATGATCTATAGAAGCTCTATTGCACAACTTGTTGTCTGGTGTCTTATTCTATATTAACTTTCTTCATTCAAAGACCTTATACTATTTGAAATCATGAGTTGGTCTTTGATGGGTACCAGCTGAAATAGAAATGCAGCAAACTGACAATGTTCTTTCAGTGGGAAAAATGCGTACCTTCCTAAGGCTTGAGGAAAATTGATATTCTTTTTTGTTGTAGATGTAGATGCATCTGATCCGAGCTGCGGATCATGATGTTAGAGGTTTGGCGGAACAAGAGAAGCCTTTCGGAGTAGCTCAATTATATAATCCACAAAAAATTGACACAAATATTTGATGGGCGATTCCTCCTCGAACCGGCCTTCCATTGACCTCAACCTCCGAAGGAGTGTTCCCGGTGGTAGACCTCCGACGATCAAGTCAGTTATGAAAGGTGATAAATATGTAAGTGTATTGAAAGGCCAGAGATAGATCTTTTACCTTTCCATACCTGAGACGCGGCTTGCTGCCCAACATCTGCCCCATCTTGCTGTCTGGGTGCCTTTGCTGCCCAAGGTCTGCCCGATGGTTATCTTGTTGTGCAAGGTCTGCCCGAGATCCCGTCTTATCTCTAATATGATCTAGAGCCTTCCTAGACAACCCTCCACGTCATCAGTAAAATATATCATCCTTATCTGTCTTTATATACCTTAGGTTTTATAGACCTTAGGTCAACAAAATGTATCATCCTTAACTCTTGAGGTCTTTATGTACCTTAGGTCAACAATACTTCCCCACAGGTCATCACAACTGGCTAAAGGTCGATAACATGTAGACTACCCACATGTCCATCATATGTATATTGTCTATAGGTGATCACGTAAACCACGACAAGTCCTTCATAGGCTTTGTCCATAGGTCAATAGGCTTTGTCCATAGGTCAATAACATCACTAGGTCCTTATAAACTGCCTGCAGGTCCTTCATAGGCTTTGTCCATAGGTCAATAACATCACTAGGAGGTATCACGAGCTACCAAGAGGTCGCTACCTTTCCATTTATTAAAAAGGTCACTGGATAATTTTCGAGCTACAAGGTCTTACAACCAATTTATCCGAGCTACCCAAGACTGGTCCACCAGAGCTATTCCATATGTGATCTCAATATTAATATTAATAATAAAAATTATTCTGTTTTTGCTTCAGTATGAATTTAATACTCATAAAGAGGTATTATAAGCAGCTTTTGTTAAACTTAAGTTGAACAATCAAGTCACTTGGCGGACACCTTTTGAAAAACTAAATTCAGAGGATACTTGTAAATGTCAAGTGAAATGTGGTTTAGTCAATACTCTTTCTATTGGTTTAGTTAACTTGTTCCATTTTAGTTCACTGATACAAGAGTCACATAGGACTTATAGGTGTGGAGTTTTTTTGGAAACCAAAGTAAAAATCAAAACCATACTAAATAAGAAAATGGATTCAGAATAGCAACCGGAACAACCATAGTTTAGAATGGCGACGCCCCGAGGCGAGTGCCACATCGCCTCGCCACTGCCTGAGGCGACCCTGTTCGCGAGGCACTCACTTTAGGTCGACTCAGCTCGCCTTTTCACGTGGCGAGAGGCGTCTGTGAGGTGCACCTAGGAGCTTTCTAAAGAAATTAAAGTCGCATTTCATTTAAAAAGAAAAGAAAAGAAAAGAAAACCGTGTGCCACTTTTTGGAAAGAGAATAAATTAAAACAGATCGAGCTCTTTCTTCACTCCATCTCCCAAACTCACGAAGGCAAAAAACTTCAGTGAAAGATCTTCCACTCCCTAAATGGCTTCTCGCTAAACTAGAACTAGGGTTTCTGCGAAAGAACTCACGGTTGACCCATCGCATTTTCAGCCTCCTCTGAACTCCGGCCGTCATCGCCGCCGTCAAGAAGGTCGGTGATGTGTGCCTTTTCTTTTCTTTTCCTTCTCCATTTTCTCTATTTTCTCATTCTCGTTTCTACAACCAATCTTTTTCTTCTTTCTTCATTTTTTTTTTACTTTACTTAGTTTACTAGCATTGTCAATAGTCAAAGGTAACAGAATGTAACATCTTTTTGTTTTCGTTTTCTTTTATTTACACTTTTTATTTACCTTATTACTAGTATTCACATTTAGGTTTTAGATGTTTTTAGTAATTACAACTAAATTTAATTTATGTTATTTTTTTTAGGATATTTAAGATTATTTTTGGCACTTAAATATATGATATCCCTATATATATAATTTTCGAATGCGCTGAGCCTACGTGGCTGCTTCTGGTGCTTCGGAATTCTACTTGTCGAAGAATCATGCTTCGTAATTAGGTTTGGACAAATGATATTGATATCTTAATAATTAATAATCTAGGTTCTGACATTCCATAAATTTTATTTAGCTAACTTAGGTATTTTAATATCATTTGTACTAATATAACCCTTTAATTCTTTGTAGTTTTACATAGTGAGGCACTAAGTGACTAATATATCCCCGACATTTAATTTGTTTCCTTCAGTTAGCTATTGAATTGTAATTGCATTTTAAAAGTTTATAATTTTTGTATTTCTTATCGGTTTTACATATATAATATATCAAATTAATCATCTTTTGATGATCTTCGATTTGACATCCACATTGTATATATGAAATAAATAAATTGTATTTATCTTTATAATAATAAATAATAATAATATTTATTAAAATTCATGAGAAAAATAAAATTATTTCGCAGTTGATATATTTATGTTTAATGTAGTTATATGTTGTAAGTTAGAAAAATTATTATAATATAACACAAGTAAGCCGCACAAATAAAAAGTGACATACTAAATATATAACTTTAGATTTTAAGAAAAAAATTAGCACACGTGTAATACTAAAAAGTGATATACTTTTTCTCATTAATTTTAAATTTGAAGAAAAAATTAGCAAGCCCCTGTGTATTGTACTACTTACTATATATGTATATATAACTATATATATGTGTATATATTTATATATACATATATTGAGCTTTGATGGCTTATGTTCGCGAGGCCTCGCCATGGCAAATCCATTCACCTCGCCATTCGCCATTTGAAACTATGGGAACAACTGGTCATCTGGTATGTGTTGTATGTTTGATTCTTGCTACATGGACTCTTGTGGTTGTTAGATATGATATCAACATGGGTACTTATAGTTAGGACAGTTAACCAAACAAATTACATGATGCACACTTCGGGTTGTACTTGACATTTGGGTTGTTTTGATCACTCTTTATGCTTAGATATTGGAGATGAGGTGGATTTCTATGGTATATGTTGATCAGACAAATATATGTGCAAAGGGAATTACTGGAGAGTAGCCCTACTCGTTTAGTTACCCAGGCTACCAGTTGTGAATAATTTTCTGTTCTACTTCTTTTACCCTGTCCTTTTATTTGTCCTTTTATTGCTACTGAGACATCGGGAAGTATGAAAGGAAGTGATCACATAAACCATAAGCTCTGTGGGCTTCCCCTTCTCTTCATCCAACTCAAAATTGATGCTTTCCCTTAGAGTAAGATCCTATTTCGAATGCCTTCAAAACCCTTTGGTAAGAAGCGGTTCGTGGATTAGCTCGTTAGTTATGGGAGCATCCAATGATTTTGGAGCTACAAAATTGATGAACAACTATGTATGTTCGAGGAATTAGGGCCTAACTGCAGATTTTACGTAGCAGATGTTGTAGGACAAAGGAATTTTTTTTTCCTGTGGTTTTGCTTTTGATTTTTTTCTCGTTAATATGGAAAAAGTGTGGTAAATAAATTAACTCCTTTATATTAATGCATCTAGTATACCACACTTATCTATTAGATGCATCTAATAATCATCTTGAAATAAACAACTGCAGAACAAAAATGTAAAATATTAAGTCTTGATACTAAAATTGAACAAGTCATCCAATTTATGGAACTAAAACAGTAAATATAAGGCCTTATTATACCAAGTTAAACCAGTTGCAGCACATCAGCTTCAGCTACGACAAACTTTAGCTTTTAAGAAATAATATCCGTCATTCAGTTTGGGACTTTAGATTTTAGATTAATGCATCTAATAAACTTTAGCCCGTGTTTAATTTAGGTGATAATCTGAATTTTTAGTAAATTTTAGATTAATGCATCTAATAAACTTTAACCCGTGTTGAATTGAGGTGATAATCTTAATTTTTAGTAGATTTTAGATTAATGCATCTAATGAACTTTAACCCGTGTTGAATTGAGGTGATAATCTTAATTTTTAGCAATGGGAGAATGGATATTGCTTCTTAAAAAGCTAAGAGCATGTTTGTTTACAATTTTTTTTTCAAAAAAGGGGATTTTTTGGTTAACTTGAGTTAATCTATATATATATAAACAGATTTACCATTTTTTAAAAATAGCAACTAAAATCCAATCAACTTCTTTCTCTTCATTAATTGTTTACTACTTATAGTAAATTTTGTTGTCTTATTTATTTCACACGATCAACTTTAATTAAGGAAGAGTTGTTAATGCTTATCTCTTTTTTTTTCTGTACATGCTATCCATATTATGAGAAACTATCTGTAACTAAGGAAAATTAAATCAAAGTGATAAGGCAAGTAAATCAAAGTGATATGATATCCGATTTTCTTTAAAATTAA